CCTTTCTTATTTTAAAAGTCTCCAAAGAATTGGGTTTTGGCAATTTTTTTTTTTTTTTTTTTTTTTACCTTGGACATTTCTTAAATGCGTAAAGTTTCTGAAAATTTTCATGCTTCACCATGGACCTTTATCTTTGTCCAATTTGTTGTGTTTTCTTCTCATTCTTTGAAGCAACTGCGTCATTTGCCACATTGGATCACCTAATGAGCACTGATCAATTTTATTTACTCCTTCTGAGCTCAGCCTTACTTACCAATATATTCTTCTGTTTAGTGTTAAGAACTTTCAAATGTGCATTGCGACCAAACTATTTCCAGTTTTCAACTTTTTTCTTAAACCATTTGAGTTTTAATAACGTCGAAATTTTAATATAAGGAGAAATTCATAATAATTAGTATGTGAGGATTGGGAGTAAGAGAACCAGAGTTGTAGGAAGAGACATAAATGAGCTTTCTTTGCCAGTCATAATAGGGCTAATTTTTTAAATGCTTGTTGGAAAAGGTCTAGAAGGATATGTACCAAAATTTTAATATTAATTAATTAGGTCTAGGAAGGGGGATTGGGCTAGAGGACAAGTGTGAATAACTTTCTTTTATATGTATTTGTTGAACGTATATTACTTAGCTTTTATTTTCTTTAGTATCAAATAATTTTTGCATATGCTTTCTTATGGTGACAAGATGCTTTTTTCTTGGCACAAACTAGAGAGCTGTAGTACACATGGATGAACGACGAGAAGAACAAATTGTGCAGCTACTGAATTCTGTTCAAGCGAAGAATGATAAAGAGTCGGAAGCACAGATATCCTGGTTTGCTCCTGAAGATCATGGGTACGACAGGAAGTATTGTTTTAAAGAATAGGCAAAGAGTAAAAAATAGCATCTGTATTTTTTTCAATAAGTGAAGTTTAACCTTGATGTACTTTTTTTTCTTATGTAGATTAAACAGATTTAGAGAATGATTTTTAAAAATTTAGATGGCATGTTTCCACAGGAAAGCTAAATGGTATGAATAATAGTGTATCTGGATATGAGTTGTATTAAGTTGTTATTTATTCTTCTCCCTACCTGTCCTCTTTGTATTTATGAAATTATTCTATCTGCGAGGTCTGCAAGAAGTGAAATTGCTACTGTTTTAGAAAGGTTACAAGAACTGTATCATTTAGAGGAAAAATTAGTACAAGTATTTCATGGACTGTGTATTGTAGCATCCTATTTTTAGCTCAGAAAGGGTGGCAAGAAAAAAAGATGTTGTGACATGAAACAAGTTCAAGAAAACCAGAAAAAGAGAAACACTGTAACTAACCGCAGTGAAGGAATGACTATTGTGTGGATTTTTTAACTACCACAAGGAATAACTTAATCTGGCAATATCTATTTAAAGGAAGGAAAAATTTGAGTTTGTTACCAGAATCTAAGTATATTTTCATAATTACTGTACTAAGAAAAGCTTTGGATTTGGATGACTGTGAAATATTTCAACAATGTTTTGTTTTGTTTTGTTTTGTTTTGTTTTGTTTTGTTCCAGGGTTCGAGTGGCTCTTCATCTGACCTTTCTTATTTTCTTATTTTGTCAAAACAGATATGGTACTGAAGTTTCCACTAAGAACACACCATGCTCAGAGAAGAAACTTGACATCCAGGAAAAGAAGTTGATAAACCAAGAAAAAAAAATGTTTAGAATCAGGAACAAATCATATATTGACCGAGATTCTGAGTATCTCTTGCAAGAAAATGAACCAGATGGAACTTTAGACCAAAAATTATTGGAAGATTTACAAAAGAAAAAAAATGACCTTCGGTATATTGAAATGCAGGTAGTAGAAAGATGTCAAAAAATATTTTGTCATTTTTTTTCTTATACTTTCTAAAAATGTATATATGGTTAGAGGTAGCTGCATGGCATAGATCAGTGAGATCCTCAACAAGACATCCTCGGTGGGAATTACTTTATTTTCGAATGGTAGAGAAAAGCAGTGGGAATGGAAGTTACACATAACCTACAGTATCCTATCTCATCCACAGAAGCTTATGTGGTAAGGAGAAGAAATGTTTGAGAAATGCTGGTGCAAATGGAAAAAAAAAAACTTACTCTTCATCTTTTCTAGGCCAGTTTAGTGAGGTGCCATGTGCATTAAAGGCAGTTAAAATTGTAAAGCTTGTTCCAGGTTACTTAATACATCTCTTTTTTTGTAGATGATAAAATTAAATATTTCAGAAGTTATGTGATGTGCTATGTTCACTAACATTGTAAATACAGGACTATCACAAGACCTGAGAGTCTCCTGAATTCTGATATTTTCTTTCTACGCTAGGCAAGATGTTTTAAGGTCCCTTTCAGTTAAAACATAAAATTGTATGATTTGTGGGTGTTCTAGAGGTGTAATAAAGTGGTTGCATGTATGTGTGTATATTTTTAAAAGAAATTACTGAGGTAACTCTGAGGGCCATATCTTAATATGTAAATACACATTGCTGTTTTTGATAAAGAAAGGATATAGCACCTCCTATAGGAAAGAAAGGATCCCTCAGCTAACTGATGAAAGCTGAATTTCCTTATTAGGAAAGAATGATCCACGGACTGTTACTGATGAAAGTTGGATTTCCTTATTAGAATAGATAAGCCGAGGTTGTCCAGGGCCAAATTGTGTAGCTCTTTGATGCCTGTTGGGTAAAACTGATTTGAAAATGGAGGAAATTTCAGGATGAATTAATTCAGAATCTTCTGGTTGAGAAGAGCTGCTTGAACAGCCTTAAGAACAAGGAGAATTAGTGTCTTTCTCTTTGCTATGTATGGTAGACAGAACTCATATACTAAAGATGGGTGATTGATCTAGTTCAGAGAAAGAAAAAAATGTGTAAAACATTTGAAAAGTTGATGGTCTTCCTATTTCTCATGTGTTGTCATAAATGCTTCATATATGCTACATGATTTAAGCTTCTCAATAACCTTGAATAAGAGACTACATGTCTGTTGTAGATGAGGAAAAAGATTTAGGTTAAGTGACTTACCTAAGGTTGCATAGCTCATAACAGAATCAGATCTAAAATTCAGCTGTGTTTAAGAACTCAGCTTTTTAATCATTTTTAGCCATGTGCAATATTTTTTCTTGATGTTCTTTAATAAACATTAATTTTCTGCTTCCTGGATACCAATTATTGTGCTATATATGTGTGTGTGTATGTGTATATATATTTGAGTCTGAGTCTGTGACCCAGGCTAGAGTGCAGTGGTGCCATCATGCTCACTGCAACCTCGACCTCCCAGGCTCAAGTGATCCTCCCACCTTAGCCTCCTGAGTAGCTGGGACTACAGGAATGTGCCAGTACGCCTGGTTAATTTTTGTAATTTTTGTGGAGACAGAGTTTTGCTTTGTTGCCCAGGCTGGTCTTGAACTCGTGGGCTTGAGCGATCCTCCCACCTCAACCTCCCCAAATTCTGGAATTATGGGTGTGAGTCACCACGCCAGCCAATTGTGCTTATTACTCTTTTTTTAAGAGTAATAAGATATTTCCTGTTCTCAGAGAGCTTACAGTTGAACTGTCTCACATCTTGGTGATGGTCAAAAGCACATAGAAACTTTGGCTGCCTTGGGAAAGAATATTGGGCTATACTTCTCTTTCCAGTGGCATTTACATGTGTAAATCATATATGGTTAATGCCAGTTTGAAATGCAGTGGGATAGCTTGTGTATAAGTATGTGTTAATATGGTAACATTTGACTACCTGGGGTGTTAATACTTATGTCATTAAAAAATGGTTTTTAGATAATTTAAAAATTATTACAAGAGAAGTTATTATAAGGTAAGGTAAGTGTGGTAGCTTTTGTTATTTTAAAATCGCTAGAATTCATTTCAGTCATCACAGTGATTGTTATTTTTATGGTGCTGATAAGAATTACCTGACCATGACAAACATGACAATAATATAATACTAGATTACCAAAGACAATTCTAATTTTATTAATTTTATATATATATATATATTTTAATTATTTCCTTTTTTTTTTTTTTTTGAGATGGAGTCTTGCTCTGTCACCCAGGCTGCATTGCAATGGCGCGATCTCGGCTCACTGCAATCTCCACCTGCCAGGTTCAAGCAATTCTCCTGCCTCACCCTCCCAAGTAGCTGGGACTATAGGCGTGCGCCACCATGCCCGGCTAATTTTGTGTAGTTTTAGTAGAGACAGGGTTTCACCATGCTGGCCAGGCTGGTCTCAAACTCCTGACCTCATGATCTGCCTGCCTCGGCCTCCCAAAGTGCTGGGATTACAGGTGTCAGCCACCGCACCCCGTCAATTTTTTCCATTTTAATAAAGGGCATTTGTTAAAGCTGACTTTATTTTTATGCCACTGAAGATTCTTTTTTTACATTATATGTACTTAGTTGAATGTAAACTACAGTACTGTTTCTTAAGTATTTTTATGTAATATGGGTATAAAGTTCCATAAAAGTTTTCAGAATTAGGAAGAAATTGTCACATAAATACGGGAAAGAATAGTCATTCCTTTTGTAGTATTCTAATTGTAATTTAACACATTGGAAATCTATTGAGTAGCTTATATGTGTCAGAAACTGGTATTTGCTTTTTATATAAAGGTTTTTCATTTAGACATTGTGGCAACCCTGTGAGATAAAATCTTTTAGATGTTCACACTTTAAGTATGACTTAACTGAGATCACAGCTGTAAAATGGCAGTACCAGATTTTCTGACTGTGCAGATACTACTTTTCTGTTACACTCAAAGGCAAGTATCCTGAAATAATTTCTGAATCTGCTCCAGTGTGCCTAATGTATTAGTAAATAGTGTACTGTTGGGTGGGAAAAGATAATACAGAAATCAAATCTAAGATGAATATATAAAACATATTGAAAAATAGTGAAAGTAATTTAGCAATCATTAGAATGCTGTTAGGACAGATCCGATTTCATTTTACTGCCACGGAGTTTAAAGCATTGTCTCCATTTTGCTGGGAATGGAGTTCTGGTTTTGAATGTTTCAGACATAAAAGGAATTGATAAATTATTCTTTATAATTTTTTTACACAAGCCATAAGATAATAAAAATACTTTTGGATTCTAGCGAATTTACCCTATGATGTATCCTAATTACCATGATTATAATTTAATTACATATCTTTTGTGAAAATTTAAAACTTTTTTTAAATTTCAGCATTTCAGAGAAAAGCTGCCTTCATATGGAATGCAAAAGGTAAAGTGTTTTTTTTCCACTATTTAATTTGATTTACAAATTACACAATTTTTTTTTTTAAGAGCTCTGTATCAAGAAAAAAATGTAAATTAATGAACTTTCTTCTACAGGGTAGTATTGGAAGTTAATTTTATTCTTTTGAATTAAGGACAAAGAAATAAAAGGACATAAACAATTTTCCTGATGTTTTCTCCTGTTTTTGTTCATAATTGAAATCTTTGAAATTTAAAAAATAAAATTTCCTCTTATAAGTTACTTTGGATAAATACCTTGCACTTAAGTCAAGACCAGACACTTCAGTTAAGATTAATGTACAAATTAATGTATTAATTAAAATCAAGGTGCGAAATAATTAATGTACTACTAAAAATACAGTTCTTTAATTTATTACACTGTATCTTAAAATATGACTACCCTATATAAAATAATATGATCTCCCATCCTTCTCTGTTTTCTCAACCTTATTTTATTTTACTTTATTTTTTGCTTTTCATAGCACTTATTACCACCTGACATTTGTGTGTCTTCCCTTCCCAGGCCAGTGTAAGTTCTTGAGGATAGGATTTGTTTTGTTCACTCTGTGTCTCTTGACTCAGAACAGTGCCTGGCATTCTAAAGACATCCAGTAAACAAATACCTATTGAACGGATGAATCACATTTCACTTCTCGGTGTTTACCAGCTATAATTTCAGTGTTCAAACTTAAAACTTTTTTCTGATATATATACATCTATATATATGTATAATGTGTTAGAATAAGTGGGGAAATTTTTTTTTTTTTTGAAAGGGAGTCTTGGTCTGTCACCAGTTGGAGTGCAGTGGCATGATCTCGTCTTACTGCAACCTCTGACTCCTGGATTCTAGCGATTCTCCTACCTCAGCTTCCTGAGTAGCTGAGGTTACAGGTGCCCACCACCATGCCCAGCTAATTTTTGTAGTTTTAGTAGAGATGGGGTTTCACCATGTTGGCCGGGATGGTCTCGATCTCCTGACCTCGAGATCCGCCTGCCACCGCCTCCCAAAGTGCTGGGATTATAGGCGTGAGCCACTATGCCTGGCCTAAGTGGGGAATTTTTAAAAGGTAGGTTTTCAAATTAAATTGTTTTGTACATGAAAATAACCCCTAACATCCCTTTGAGATAGTAAGATGACTTTGTTTATACAGTGAATATTATTATTAAAAATACTAATACATACAATTTTGTAGAAGAACATCTTCCCCAAGTATGAGGTTTTCTAGATAGCTTTGGTTTAGATATTTAAGACTTTATTTTAATTATTTGAAAGGAAGTCATTTTAAACTACAGTATTTTCTTCCTTGTTCCTAAAATGGCATTTAAAACTTGTTCTGCAGACAAAACCATATTTATGAATTATAATATAAATTCGTAATGTCATCAGTAGTTGTTTAGGCCGGGAGTTTGCTTGTGTAGTCAGTAGCCCCACATGTCAACATTATTTTAATTCTTCTGCGTGGAACTTATAAGCTATCTCTTCTTGTTTATGTCAGTATGTTTTTCTTTAACAGTGCTTTGGCTTTGTTCTTTATAGTTTGGTGCACTTATCTCTTGCAGATTGGTAGATCCAGATATCCAAACTGCCAGTATTGGATATGACAAAATTTAGAAAACATTAATATATTTTTTAAAAATAATTATCTTTAGTTTGGTCGAATTTTGATTAATATCTTTTTTCAAACTTAGACAACATGTGATATTCTTTATTTTCCCTTTTGAAATAGGAATTGGTAAATTTAATTGATAAACATCAGGTAACAGTAATAAGTGGTGAAACTGGTTGTGGCAAAACCACTCAAGTTACTCAGTTCATTTTGGATAACTACATTGAAAGAGGAAAAGGATCTGCTTGCAGGATCGTTTGTACTCAGCCAAGAAGAATTAGTGCCATTTCAGTAAGTAATCTCTTAACTTATTACAAATGTCTTTTTTAAAGTAATCTTGCTAGAACCTACTGATTCTGAAGGTGTGCAGTGATTCTTAATTAGGCTTAGGATTTGTGACTGTGAAAGCAAATATTTGCTTAACGTGTTTAATAATAAAGGCCAAAAAATTGAGTAACCACTGTCTTTACAGATAATAGATATTTATGAATTCAAGATAAACTTTATATCCAGGCAAATTTCAGTGTGTATTCACAAGAATGAAATAGATAAAATGTTTACAGAATTGATTACAAGCTTCAAATAATCTCCATCATTTGATTCCTTTACATTTTACTACTTGGTTTATTTAATTTTTTTTTTTTACTTCTGTCATTTTTTCAGTATAAGTATATGAATGATGGTGAAAGTGGGAAACCTTTTAAGCTTTATTTGTATAATCAGTGTTTTATTTAATTATTTTTTGAGATAGGGTCTTACTTTGTCACTTAAGGTGGAGTGCAGTGGTGATAACACGGCCTCAGTGCAGCCTCAACCTCTAGAGTTCAAGTGATCCTCCTGCCTCAGCCCCCCAAGTAGGTGGTACTATAGGCATGTGCCACCATACCTGGCTAATATTTGTATTTTTTGTAGAGATGAGGTTTTGCCGTGTTGCCCATGCTGGTCTTGAATACTGGGCTCAAATGATCTGCCCACTTAAGCCTCCCAAAGTGCTGGGATTACAGGCATAAGCCACTGTGCCCAGTCATAGTCAGTCATTTTGAATGCAGCTACTCAGTAAGAGGAAATTTATCATGAGGAAAAATAAGGTATTGTTTCTGGTTTGTCAAGTCCAAAATTTTGGGAAGGCATACATAAGTAACACTTATAAGTAATTTATTTCAGGTTGACTATACGAAATCCAGAATGCTCCCAAATCTAGAACTGTTTTGAGTACCAACATGGAAATGCTCACTAGAGCATTTCACATTTTGGATTTTCAGATTTGGGATGCTTAACAAGGGCAAGTATAATGAAAATATTCCAAAATCCGAAACCGGAAATACTTCTGGTCCTGAATATTTTGGCTAAGGAATACTCAACCTGTACATTGATTTTGTTGTTATTATTTTTAGTTAGATGACCTAGTTAAATATGTTTTATATATTTTTTAAAGGTGTTTGGGGTTTCTTGTCATATTTCAGTATGCATAGTGAATTTATTTATGCTGTATAATTTTGTGTATAAATTATAAAGGTTTGTGTTTGTCTTTGGTTTTATGACAGTGCTGTTTATCACGTGTCTAAGTTATTTAATATAGAATCTGTGGTTAAAAACATTACCAATTACGACAGTATTTCTCAGAAAATACAGTATATGTTTTAAGCTTTGGTTTCTAAGAAGTACTATAAAGAAAGAACAGTAGACTTCACTGCTTTTAAAAAAAATTGTGTAAATTTATGGGATACAAGTGCAATTTTGTTACATGCATAGATTCTGTAGCGGTTAAGTGAGAGCTTCTAGGGTGTCCATCACCCACATCATATACATTGTACCCATTAAGTAATTTCTCATCATCTGTCCCCCTCCTACCTTCTCTTCTGAGTCTCCATTGTTTGTCATTCCATACTTTATGTCAACATATACCTGGTTTTTAGCACCCACTTATGTGAGATATGATATTTGTCTTTCTATGTCTATTTCGACATGATTTCACTCTCACAGCTGAATAGTATTATTCCATTCCTTATCCAGTCATCCATTGATGGGCACTTAGATTGATTCCATATCTTGACTATTGTGAATGATACTGTGATAAACATGCAAGGCAGGTGCTTTTTGTTTGTTTGTTTGGTTGGTTGGTTGGTTTTTTTGATACATTGATATCTTTTCCTTTGGGTACAAACCCAGTAGTGGGATTGCTGGATCAAATGATAGCGCTATTCTTAGTTGTATCCATATTGTTATCTATAGAGGCTGTACTAATTTACATTCCCACTAACAGTATGTAAGAGTTCTTTTTTATCCATGTCCTGGCCAAGATCTATTATTTTTTGACTCATAGTAGCCATTTTGACTGGAGTAAGATGATTTCTCATTGTGGTTTTAATTTGCATTTCTCTGATGATGATGTTGTGCATTTTTCATATACCTGTTGGCCATTTGTATATCTTCTTTTGAAAAATGTCTGTTCTTGTCTTTTGCCCTCCTTCTAATGGGATGATTTGTCTTTTATTGTTGTTGTTTGAGTTTCTTGTGTATACTGGATATTTGTCCACTGCTGAATGAATAGTTTGTACATATTTTCTTCCATTCTGGAGATTATCTGTTTGTTGATTATTTCTTTTGTTGTGTAGAAATTTCTTAGTTGATTCCCATTTGTCTATTTTTATTTTTGTCGTCTGTGCTTTTGAGGTCTTAGTCATAAATTCTTGGCCTAGACCAATGTCTGAAAGAGTTTTTCCCTAGGTTTTCTTCTAGTAGTTTTAGTTTCAGGTGGTCTTCACCCTTTTATGGGGATGATATTCCAGGAAATAGCATAAAATTATGGAATGGTGAAAAATAAACCACTTTTGTTATAACACAGTTTTGTAGCTAGACTTAAATATTTTCACTAATATATAGCCATTACTGTATATGCAGATAGTAGGAAGAAATGCTAAGTAGGTAATTTTTTTCTTCTTTTTTCACCATCTGTTGGAATTTGAGTAGAAAGGTTAATGTGGTCTGTCAGTGTGTACTAGGTATACTTTGGAAAGTTTTACTTCCAAATTATTATTTCTTAGAAATTATGCCATTTTCTATTTCTGATCCCTTATTATCACTGTTCTGTCATGAAATAACTGTCAGTTACTTTTAGTTGTACAAATCAGTATTAGATTATAACATTTCATCTTTCCAAAGCTTATTTTTGGCAGTTGTAACTTTCAAAGCATGACCAAGAACTAGAAATTCAACACCAGTCCCTACCACAAACAAAAACACAAGGGAAGAGTATCAATATGTAATTACTTTCGAATTACACATAACTTCTACAAGTTTAGATCTTGATTTGCAGCTCTTAGAAAAGACCAAAAATGTATAAATTAATGAGAGGATGCTATAGAAAGGCGCTTTGAAACTAGTGATGAGAGAACTTGGCCTTAGAAGATTTTATAAGAGGAAATGAAAAATAAGCATGAACAGCTCTTGAGAGAGGCACACACTGTTTTAGATACCTCAGATTTTAATATCTGGTTTTTTTTTTTAACTCATTTAGAAATCTGAAGGGCAATTTTTCAACTGTCCGAGATTTTCATGGATATTCAGGATATTTGTTCTAAAGGAAATTATATTCTCTTTATATTTTATTTGAATTAAAGGTTGCGGAAAGAGTGGCTGCAGAAAGGGCAGAATCTTGTGGCAATGGTAATAGTACTGGATATCAAATTCGTCTCCAGAGGTAAGAAATGTTCACTTCTTATATGCAAGCAGATTTTATGAAACTTTGAAGCTGGAGATTCAAAAGAAAGGATATTGTCCCCATTTTTATGATGGTTATTACTATTACAATTACCATTTAAAGTAATTGCAGCATAGATGGCTTGCTGCCACAAATTTATCTTTTAACCCAATCGGACTTCGATTGCCTTTTTAAAATGGTGCTTTTATATTTGGAATGATTAGAAAAATAAACATTTTTCCTGGACATAGATTAGTAGACCATTACTCTCTCTGAAAAGATTGTGTTCTATACCTTTCAGTACCACCTCCACACACTTCTGACTGACTTTTTAAATTGATTTTGGTATCTTAACCCCCTATCCAACTCCACTGTGCAGTACATATCTGGTCCTTTTCTGGAGCTTCGGACTCCATTTGTCTTTTTATGTTTTAATTTACTTAACGTTTTTTAGAGATAGGTTCTCATTCTGTCACTCTGGCCGAAGTGCAGTGGTGCAGTCAGCTCACTGCAGCCTAAGACTCCTGTGTTCAAGCAATCCTCCCACCTCAACCTCTCAAGTAGGTGGGACTATCAGTGCACACCACTATGACTGGCTAATTTTTTTTACTTTTCAAGACTGAATCTCCCTATGTTGTCCAGGTTGATCTTGAACTCCTGGGCTCAAGCAACCCTCCCATCTCAGCCTCAAAGTGTTGGGATTACAGGCGTGAGCCACCATGCCTGACATGTTTGCCTTTTCAAATGAGTGAACTTTCCAATTATGAACCAAATATTTAGGCCCTGTAAGTAAGTCAGTTGTTATCTCAATGTCAATGGTCTTACCTTTTAAAAGACATTAACATTGTATCAATGACAACAATGATAATGTATAATGAATTTGAATGAAGTATTTCCCATTACCCTATTGTGGTGGGTGTTCTTATAACTAAAAAAAAAAATGAAGATTTTCATCAAAACTGAAAGCATTTCTAAAATTGAAGATATAAACCTTTGTGGTAGTTAGCTAATTACTAGGAAAGAAAACCAAGAATTATTAGTTCATGTCTTTCATTCACAGTCGGTTGCCAAGGAAACAGGGTTCTATCTTATACTGTACAACAGGAATCATCCTTCAGTGGCTCCAGTCAGACCCGTGAGTATGTTTCAATTAAGGAAATATAAGTATTATGAAAAGATGTAATTATTAAATTGGATTTTACTAGTCATTAAAGAAAAATGGTTTTAAAATTTTGTACTTCACACTTCTGCCTTAGGTGTTTGTCCAGTGTTAGTCATATTGTACTTGATGAAATCCATGAAAGAAACCTGCAGTCAGATGTTTTAATGACTGTTGTTAAAGATCTTCTCAATTTTCGATCTGACTTGAAAGTAATACTGATGAGTGCAACATTGAATGCAGAAAAGTTTTCAGAATATTTTGGTGAGTAAAATGTATAGTTACTACATTAGAAAAGGTACTAGAAAACCACTTAATTAAAAAAAGTTAATATGGTACTAGGTAAAGAGTAGTCAAAATGAATGTTTAGCTAGTAATTTTATTTTAATATTATTCTACCCTACAGTTTCATGGATTAGACAATTGGGTCTATTTTTAAATGATGGCATCATCTCTGATAGTGAGGACAGGTAGCTTCTTGTTGCTACCACCACACAATTAAGATGGCATCGTTGAAGTCAAACCACAGATTTGCGTAATTTTATAAACTTCTTTCTGTAATTTTTCTGTGGCTTTTATCTACTATCACAGGTTAGGGTGGCAGTTTTCTGCTAATACTGCTAGTGACCACTTAACGAAACACCTTCAATGTTCCAGGTAGTATATTTACCACTTTGTCTTCCTTAGTCTTTATAATACTTTATGAGGTACGTACTATTATTCACATTTTTACAGATGAGAAAGCAGCCTCAGAGCAGCTAAGTAGCTGTCCCAAGCTGAACATAGATTGGACCAGCTGCAAAGCACATTCTTTTAAAATCAGTCCTAACTGTCTTTCCTGCTTATACTTGTGAAGGAAAGAAGGGGAAAGGGAGGGAATTACAATGTAATATAGTTAT